GACACATTTAAACGAAATTTTTTGAACATATATTCTCCACAAATAACACAAAAACAATCAGGATTATTTAAACACGTCCTTTTTGAGAAAGACATAATGAAATTTATAAAGGAACTAGTGAAGTTACACCGCTATTGATAGAAACTATCGACTACTTATGTAAATTCAAGACGGTACCTGTATCTCAATAACAAGAACTGCTATAAAAAATCTGAGGGTAGATTTGAAATCAGCGCACCCAAATTAGTAAACAACAGTAGAAAAACTTCATGCAACAAAAAAAAAGTATGAATTTGTTTTTCTGTGTAATACAATTGAAATTTACTAGGAAACGTAACTTTTCTTCCACTTCTAGTAACATAAGGTATGACATCTGGTACAGAACTTACCTTAGACTCATCTACATCAGCAGTCAGTGGAGACAGAGGAAAAGGGAACTTGTTACCTTGTATCTCCAACTTGTAGAGACGTTGTACTGGTCGTATTTTTAATCCCGTAGAAGTTTTAATTCGCGCAGTTCTCTGCACACCGTCACGACCTGTAAACAGTTATTCAACAATAGCAAGTGGCCATTTCACTCTCTTCTCACTACTTTCGACAAGAACTATATCACCCTTATTGATTGAATCCTTCTTGTCATTCCCCTTTTGTACAAGAAACGCAAGATAATCGGATTTGAAACGTTCCCGAAATTGAGTCCTTAACTTTTGCATAAACCGGTATCTATCATTTAGACTATTCGAGTCAATAGTATCCAGATCCACTACCTCTGAACTTGGGATAGCTTGAATAAAATGTGATGGGGTTAACGGTTCAAGGTACTCTGCCTTATCGTCGTTAATAAAAGTCAAAGGCCTTGCATTCATTGTTGCTTCACAATCACATAATATGGTCTGCAACTCTCCGTAAGTCACAACAGCTTTACCAAGAACACGACGAAGTAGATCTTTCAGTACTCTAATAAGGCGCTCCTAGTATCCGCCCCACCAAGCAGCCGTAGGAGCATTCATCCTCCATGAAATGCGGTTCACCACAGAATACTTTTGAACCTCCACCCAATCCAAGGTGCTAAGTAAATTTTTTGTACCTATGAAGTTCGTGCCATGATCTGAATGCAACATGTCTACTCGTCCGCGTCGAGCAATAAACCTTCTCAACGAAATCGTGAACTCTTCAGTTGACAAGGATCTCATTGTCTCCATATGAACAGCTCGATATACTGCGCAGGTGTATAATACTATCCAGCATTTTAGTCCATCACGCAAAAATAGCGGGTCTGCTAGATCCACCCCTGTTGTTTGAAAAGGTGCAGAGCAAACCATACGCTCAACAGGTAACGGTGCTGCAGGAGCTACAGTAGCCTTTGATCGATATCTTTTACAGGTAACGCAAGATGAAATTACTGACTTTACAGGCCTTCGTACACCGACAATCCAAAATCTTATTCGCAAGTCAGATATCAATTGATTAGCACCAACATGCTGCAACTGTTCATGTCTTTGTCGAACCAACATTTTAACAATTCTGTCTTTAGAGGAAATCAAATAGGGAGACCTCACAGTATCAGGAAAGTCTGATAGTAGAAGTTTCGTCCTTACTCTTATTAATCCCTCATCATCTGAAAACTTCGATAAGCTACTTTCTTCTAATAAATCCTTGTCCTTCATCTGTATTATCTTAATAACTAATTTTTCCGCTTTTTCATATTCCTCATAGCTTAGCTCTTCTTTAGTTTTTATGTCAGGACATAAAACAGTAGAATGACGCTTGGCACATACAAAACATTTCACCGCCGCTCTACAAATTTTTGGGTGATGTCCTACTCTCAGACAAATTGGACAAGCTCTCTTTTCTTTTAGGTATTGTTTCCGCTGTTCAATAGTCATTCTATTTAACTTGTAGCATTCGATACTAGCATGAGAGTCGTTGTCACACCAGATGCATACGCTAGATCTCTGCTTAGTGTTGGTCAGTAAATACTCTGCAGTTGCGGGGTTGCTCTCTACCTCCTCACGTTCACGACTGCTATTTCCGAAGAAAGTCTTCTTTGTGATGGCAATCCATTGCTCTGCCTCCACCTCCTTCCTTATAAAATTAAGTAGGTTGCTGAGTTCAGCTGTACCGTCATTATCCTGAGGTTTGTTTCTCTCCCAGCATCTAAGGATTTCGTTAGGAAGAGCAGACTCTACCAATGGCAGCAAGAAGTCAGCGTACCGATCCTTGGTAAGCTTTAAAGTCTCTAACGCACGCAACTGAGCATTCAGTTTATCATACAATTGCGTGAGCGAACCTTTTTTGCTTGATAGCAAGAGTGCGAGAATTTCTCTAATGTATATTTGCACCAACAAACCGTCTCGGCCATATGTAGACTTGAGCTGACTTATGCAATCGGAATAAGCAGTGACAGGAAAACTTGCGACTACGTCTTTCACTTCCGTGTCATCTTTCATACATTGTAGAAGATACTGATATTTGTCTATACCATCAATATTCGGGTCGTCGTTTATTTTTGAAAATTGACCCCAAAATGAAAGCCGATTGCGTATATCACCATCAAATTTCGGCAATTCCAGTTCAAAGGCAATTTTATATTTTTCGGTGTAATGTTTTCGAAAACGGAAGTCGTTGAAGCAGTCAATTTTTTATATTTTGCCTCTAATCTCAACAACCGAGTCTTATAATCCATGACACCTTCCAATTCCTTTTCTAATATTTCTTCGTCAACTTCAATCAACATTAAATCTAATATTATTTTGTCGAGACGAAGTAAATGTTCATATTTTTCTTTAAATTTTTCGTAAATAATATGAGTCTCTACATCTGTTTCCTGGCGGTCTATCGCGGCTTCTAAATCATTGCTACATTTAGTAAAAATGCGCCTTACCACGCTTCTTTCCTTTTTAGTATTCTCCAAATTCATCATTTTCACAGTCACGGTCGCCACTATTTAAAATGAACGTGTTGAACTATATATGATATTAAATTAGAAGGAAAATAAAACCACCATAATCTAGATTTGTCACAAGACTATCCTTTTTTATTATATTTTTAAATAGGAATAAAAACGTCAATTTATAAATAACGAAATCGCCTCACAAAGAAACACAAGCTTGTCCCGAGGCGAGGCGATTACGTTACGATTCCGATTAGTGTGCGTTGCAGTAAGGAGTTTCATGCCGATCCCTTTCCGAGTTGATATGTCTACTACGACCTTAAGTAGACGAATGTAGTCAGAGTCATGGTCACGAGATCTAGAGTTCAAATCGTCCAAATGCAATGAAGTTTTATCCTGAGCTGTCAAAAATGTGTCAAAACAACAGTTTTCAGTTTCAGAGCCCATTCTGTTTAAATATAAAATGTAATTCTTGTAAAATAATACACGGTTTCATTTTTACAACTTCATAGATGTTTGAATTATAGGTATCCACTAATATCAATAATGAGATTTGAAGGCTTCAACGGCAGACAGAGTAAAAGTGCGTTTTATTTCCTAAACTCAGATTGGTGGTGTTTGTTTACATTTTCCTATTGTAGTAGTTTAATATTAACTTCATGAACTTTCATGAATCAATTTACGCGATAGCACATTGTAAGCTCTAACCACTGTGCCACCGTGCTCCTCATTTTATTATAAAAAAAAAGTACTCATTCTAAGTGGTGGTACTTTCATGAAAAAGAAAATCCTTTGTAATTTTGTGTTTCGTCCTACTAATGTGAATGTTTGCATGTTGTTTGTGTGTTTTTTACTTAATCACCCAAAAACGGCTGCACGGATTTGGAAGAAATTTCACACACAGACAGCTAGTAAAATTTTATCCAAATCCGTGCATTTCACTATCTTCTTCGCATTGTAGGTAATCCGCAATGTCAAATGAATACTGCGAGATGTTTAAATCTAAAGTTTTTTTTTACTAGAAAGAAATCCAAACGATTTTTTTTCTATTGGTATTTCTTATTTCAAATGAAGGGTTTTTTACAAAAACTACTTAACTAACAATTTTAAGGATTTTTTTTAATGATGGCAATATGATCTATGAAAAAAGTGACACCAGAAAGTTTAATTCGATTTTACAAAAACAGTTTAATTAGCACAGAATCGCACAGTAAAAAAACACATATTTTACAAAAACTACACAACTACGTGCAAATTTTACAAAAATTACGTATCTGAACGCAGGTAAGTAGTTTTTGTGAAAAAATAAAACCACCATTTGTCTTGGTTATGTATAACTTTACTGGAGAATGGACAAGAATCCATATACGGACAAAGCGTCCACTGCCTTTGGAACTGAATTTTAGACCATTGTACGAGGCTCAAATTCCATTGAACCCTAATAAAGCTAAGGATATTCAGAGATTGAAACATTTTTTGAGTGAACCATACAAAATGATTATCTATGATAAAATATGTGAATTTGGAGCAGAGGAAGGAGAAGATATGGATATTGATAATGAAGATGTAAGTGAAGGAGAAGAGTAAATAATAAGTTAATTGGACTCTATAATGGCTGTGATTGTTTGTATGTCAATAAAATACTTAATTATGAATAATTAGATGTCTTTTATTCCAAAACTTTTACTATTATTTTTACAAAAATAACATAAATGCATTTTTTTACAAAAAGAACACTAGTACATACTACTTTTTATAATTTTATTCCATAACAGTAGGTATAAATAATAAAAAATGTTACATATTCAATCCAATACATTCACATGAATAACTTTTCAAAAGTTCTAAGTTATTAAATGAAAAATATAGTTTGGAGAATGTTTTTTATATTTCCTGTTAAATTGTTGCTAAATAGTTGTGCTGTTTTTGTAAAAAACCCTTCAAATGTTTGATACTAGTAAAGGTATTCATTTGACATTGTGGGTTTAACTACAAAATTTTTGCTAGAAAAAATTCTACGCAATTTTTTTCCTAGTATTTTTTTTAGGTTTTAAAATCTAGCAGATAAATGCTTAAAATATAACTATGATTTTTTTGTATTTTTCAGACTTGGTTCCTGCACGGTTCAACCTTTGGTTAATGCTGTTCACAAGCTGCTGGATTGTGTACATGCTTCGTGTTAATATGAGTCTTAACCTCATCGCCATGGTGCCACAGACTAAAAGCAACTATTCGTAAGTGTTAAATAAAAACTAAGAAATAAGTACGCTAGTTTTCAAGTTTTTGTGTATAATGATGAGTTCTATAAATCTAAGATTCTATAGGTATACAAAATATTCATCTTCTATTTAAAACCTAATCTAACTTTAATTTTCGAGAGCTATAAAATATCTTTAAACTCGTCTTGTAATTAATTGGTTAAGTGGTTGATGAATTAATTAACCAACTCAATGGACTAACAGTTGTTATTACATTAAAATTTATTTAAATTAATAAGAATCCGAGATAGACAAGATATAATATTGAATAAAATCATATTTCCCTGATATCAAACGTGTAGGGTTTTATTACAAGAAATCAATTATGTAATTTCTGTAATACTTAGCTTTTTTTTTTTTTTTTTATAGTTAGTTCCGACAAATGACTCCACCCCACCTGGTGTTAAGTGAAGGTGTTAAGCTTCCTGTTAAATACGCCTTTGTACCAATATTATGTTATTTTGTATAGTTTCGTACATTTCGAAAATCTAATAAATTTATGACGCTAAGGATTATTACAATGAATACTCTTTCGAATGATGTAAAAGAAATGACGCATGTTAGAAGGTTCAAGGCGTTACATCTGGAATGTCATAACAAAGCATAGTATATAAATATGAGTTGAAAATCGAATTTATATTCATATTCAAGTTAATAATTATGTATTTAAGTCTTTGAATAAAAACTTTGTAAGTATACCATTAACAGAAGGTTTTTTAGAAAGTTTAATGGCCAGGCTATTAGTAACTCCACTGCTAGGACACAGGCCTACAACTTTTTGGATGGAATAAGAAAAATAGGCCATTACCCACCGCGCGGGAATAGTGTCGATCACATAAATAAATTAGTCTTATCGACATTTCGTCTGAGTTGTAAATGCAGCCGTAGCCGCAACGTAGCTTCCGAAAAACGGAGAGCTCTAGATCATAAACTATCGGTCACCCATCCTATGAACGGCCACTGTGACAGTTGCACATCTCCAATAATGTCAGATTGATAGTGAACGATTTGCCCCATCGAGCACATCAAAAAGTTTAAAGACACAATATTTCGAATCTATTGCGCTATCTTCTTTCTAATTTCGTGTTAATTTACGTATTTTGTTAGGTAGGTATTATGTTAGGCCAAATATAATGATTGAATGAAAATAAAGTATCCTGATTTATCTATCATGTTTTGTATTAATAGATCGCGATCACAATGCGAGCCGCCAGATGGCCTGTCGAATGAAACTCTTCATCACGTGGACATCACTGACGTCAGACAAGCACCCAGACAGGTATTTTAAGTTCCTTTTATTTTTTGATTTTATCTTTATTGAAAAATATGGCTAGTGTTTTTTTAATATTAATTTAGAATGAGATCACAGTTCCATAAGCAATAATATACTTATATTATAGTCGTTTGTTATTTACGAGAGACTCGTGTAGGTACAGAGACTCGTGTAACATGTCACTTAGGCAAGCCTTCGGTATTTACAAAAAAATATTTCTCCTTGATAATGATACTCTAAAAAATACTTATTGTTACCATAATACGAGAGATGAAAATAAAAAAAGAAGAAATGAAAATAATAATGATTTAATAACATGAAAAATATTTGTTTCTTAGGTTATCACGCACACCACTCATTAAATAAAACAAGTTTCAACGGTAAAGATGCACTGATTTATTTGTTACTTGACGTTTCGCATCCTTTTCAGGCTGCGTAGTCAGAATTATGATTTTTATTAACCTTCGAAAGTATTTCGATTTAACAAATAAATCAGTGTAATGATACCGTTGAAACTTGTTTTATTTTATATTAAAATTTTGCAAAGCATGCACTTATGGAAGTTGTTGTTGTAGGGTACGCAGGGACAGAATTTACAGCCTTTGAGTCATACAGAATCAAGAACATACGCTCACGCCAAAGCCTTATTCAGGAAAACTAAATAAAATACCAATAGAACTTGTAGGCACCTTTAAAATGATACAATGTAACAAGGTACAAACACCTCTTTACTAGACTTTACCATTACGGTCACTATACTGAGCGGAATAAATATAATTTGAGATTAAGCTATAAAGATACTACTTACTACAGCTATAGAAGACAGTGATAAAATAATATAAGTATCAAAAAGCTTAAGTTAAGGAAAGGTGTCATTTCAATGACAAAATATATTTTGACTTATTATTATTATGATTGCAGGCTAAGTAATGATCTTTTGATTCTGGATTTGTCACTATTTAGCATTGTGCCTTATCTTAGTAACTTTATATTGAAACTTTTTATATTACCAACTCTATTGCTTGCATATCGTAATACACATGGGGTAGTCGTATGTAGGTACTTATTAAGTGCATAACTTTGGAATATTCTTCTTATAGGAAGAAAAATATAAAAAAATAGGTCCCTATCATCGTCATATTGATTTTTCAGACTATGTTTAGTCATTGTCGATCGGGATGATGTAAGAATTCTATCGATACCGCATTCTTCAAAATCGAACTTTTAGGACACAGAGCGTAGAAAAGACACATACGACGTAGATAAATTCGAAAAACATAATCCCTTACTGCAAGTAATTTTTAAGATAACATGTTATTGACAATAAGTCTTTTACTGCAGAACAAAACGAATTACAAACCACACACCAGTAACTTTACACAAAAAGTTGTTTTCCATCTTTTTTGTTTACGCTAAATTTGACGTTTTGTGTTTCCCATTAGCATAGTTTTTATAAGGTATACTCGTACTAGACTACTTTGCATATGCGAACAAGCTTCGATAAAAACTAGCAGTTTTATATTCAATGGTCATATTTAGTTTCTTAAAAGTATAATACACGTTTAACAACAATATTTAAGTTTCCCTAAAATCACTCATTATGGTAATGAGAATAACGGTGAGAGTCAGACTACTAAATGACTGATATATGACCATAATTCGTAAATAATAACTGCCACTTAATTAACCTACCTATTTGACTAAATTAAAAGTATAATAAACTATAACAAATAATAATGCCTCTCAAGTCTCAACCGCCGCTGCCGCGTCGCCGCTTAATCTTAGTGTCCAATATGTTTTATTTCACTATTTATTGCTACCAATTACCAAGGGAATGCTAGCTGTTTAATAGGTTAGAAAATGTTGCTGTTTCTGTATTGCCTCATTAGACTAAAATGAGGCAATACGGAAACTGAAAAAAAATTACTGTAGTAATTTATGAGCTTTGTTGTGTAGAATACTACATACTAACTTTGTAGTGTCTCTTTAGCAAAAACAGTTTTATGGAGAGGGATGTGGCAGACTAGTAGCTGCGTCTACGGGCAGGTCCCTTTGGATCACTGACAGTGCTGCGTACAGACAGTCAGCACTAGTCGGGACCCATTATTGAAAAAAAATATCCATTTTTGAATATCTAATGATCCCGAATGTAACAGTTCCTTTGTTCCTTACTTACCAGAAATTATAGACTACTAGACTTGCTTTTTCTTTTCAGTTTTAATTTGAAGTAATATTTAAACAGTTGGGTTCTTTGATTTGTTAAATTTACCTTTTTTACTGTATAAAAATAGGAATCTACGTTTAAGTTGTTAAACATATATAGGTATATCCTTCATTACTTTAAGAATAAGGGAGTTAAATGTTGGTCAACAAAAATGACTTTGCATCATGCAAATAATTTTTGCCCTGGTTATTTTTGTACAATGATAATTAGGACTAATTCATGCACAGATATGAGCTTGATTAATGGATTTAAAGCTTAACTTAATCCATTAATGAAGCTCATCAATGACAGCGGTGAAAAATTGTTGAAACAGTGATAGGCATAGTTAGTTTTAACATCATTTAATGAGTAAGTATTATCAATACAGCAACAGATAGGGCCCTTTCAGCATCAGTAAATAAAAAATAAATACTTCATGATAATAATTCACTTACGAAAAGTGCAGTGTCGTCAGCGTAAGCATTCAAATGACAATTTGGAATACCAAACGTACAAAGGTAATTCATATTACACCCGAGAGCAATGAATCCGGGTCACATAAAGAATCCTAAACAACTCGCAAACTAAGAATGCTAGCTTAATGAAATAAATGGTGTTTAATAAACAATTAAATACTCCTTAAATGAAAGTAATAAAATTTACGATTCACCACATTTTATTTACAAAAATAAATACATGGAGAAAAAAACTGGCTGATCTCGCCTTAAACCAAAACCAAAAATAGGAAACATGATATTTTTGAACGACATTACGATTTTCTTGAATTTTAATACTTCGTATTGCCTCCTCGTGCTTCCATTATCATCAATAGTCCAATGTAAGTGGTTCTGGGCATATCTTAGTCTCGAAATACGATGCCCATGCTCCAGTTTAGGGCCGTTTGCAGGTCTAAGTGGTTTCAAGCTAGCTTCAGCAAGTCGTCGTCTAACTGTCCATGTGCTTGGGTTATTTCCTCCGAGGCGTCGAAACCGATTTGTAATTTCAGTTCCTGTGAGAAAGCTTGTGCTGTGGTACACCTGGTTGTGTCTGCTCCTGGTCTGCGTCGGTTAGAACCAGTTTTCTTTGTAACGACGGAGAACTCTTTGTACTATTGACAGCGATACACCGACAGCCCTGGTTGTATCGCGCTGACGCCGGCCGGTTTTCAGTATTGTGAGAATTATTCCCTTTGCTGAATCCAGTTTCCATTGTGGTATTGATAGGAAGTAATTTACAGTTATTTCGTCGGTATGAACCTTATTATTCCCTATGCTGAATCCAGTTTCCATCGTGGTATTGATAAGATGTAATTCACAGTTTTTTCGTCGGTATGAACCTTGTATGAACACAAACCAAGAAAAAACAGAGAACAGCCTTTCCCACCTTTCCGTATTTGTTGAGCGGTTACTGTCGTCACGCGCTCCTATTAGTCCGGTGTTTGTAATCACGTGACAATAGGTGATAAATATAGCTTTTAAAATTAATATTGTTTAATTCAATGTGATTTATTTTATTTAAAAAATGTAATTAACGATATTCTATTAATACAAACAATAAAGAAATTAACACGGAACAGGAATTCACGATTTTTGACAACATCCCTTTTGTTTTAGTAGCCTTCCAGGTATAATATGGGTTTTTTCTGCATTGTGTAATGTTAGTTTTTGCTGGTATAGTTTTGAGTATGGTTGTGGAAGTCCAATAATGCCAATTGTTATTGCCTAAGCATGAAAATCTAAGAAAGAAATACGAGACTGAACTTTAGTATGTGGTTGTACCAATTTTAATGCTCTAACAAACCTAAAATGTTACCATAAATACTTTTATTAATCTTTCTATGAATGTATGTATGCATGTACTGAAAAACTAGAGGATAAGTCAACCACAGAAAACAGATTAACATGTTGCGGTGTTTTTTTTTACCCGACTGCGCAATGCCAGAGCGCGGAGCGCGACGCGCATACAGGGTATAGTGTTTAACAGTCTATATATGTATGTTTGTTCCTTCGTGGCACACTAAAGTAGAACTTTTTATTAGCTGCAGTAAAATGATGTTTTGTGGGTTACCGCTTTTTGAAGAAAAATAAATAGGGATGTAGCTAAGTGAGTAAGTGAAGCATTCAATAAATGAATGATCAGTTTGGTTTCGTTTAAGAGATTTAATATTAAGTTGTAATGATTTTTTATTCTATTATTATTACTATAGTAAAGGATTGATCTTTTTCATTAGAAGTATCGGGACGTACATTCAAAATTAAACAAAAAGTCATAACAATATTGTTTATTAATCAAATATTTTCGGAATCACTATCGCTGTCGCTTTCGGTCTCACTAATGACAAATCTGTCTGTCATTTCATCAATAATATAATCGAGGTGGCACATTTTGTCTTCCTCTTTTATAGTGTTAGACACACAGTCACTCCACTTAACCGGTGTCACTTTGTTGATTCCTTCTTGGAATAAAGTTTTCACTTCTTGCATTTTATATGTTTTATTAATGTTTGCGACGTGCCCCTTTACCTGAACCCAAACCAACTCGATGGGGTTCAATTCACAGTGATAAGGGGGCAGTTTTAAAAGTTTACCTTTTTATGCAGTAATCTCGTCCACGGCATATTTCTCATTATGATTTTGTTGTTTCACAATATCTATGAGAGTGGCCTTCACTATATTTGGTTCAAATGTAATATTTTTAGTGGTCAGCCACTCTTGAATCTAATTGGTTAAAATTCCACATGGGGTGGGACAAAACATATTATACCTAACGTATAGTTAAAATATTAGTGATGACAGGTAAACTA